TTAAATACACTGACTGCTATTCAATCTATAACAGTGAAAAAAGTTTTTTGTTTTTTTAAATCCAAGCTATTGTGACACCAGATCTAATTGGTGGCACTGGTCAGCGTATCCACTGTTAGCTTAACACACCCGCTTTAAGGACACTGACTGCTATTCAATCTATAACAGTGAAAAAGTTTTTTGTTTTTAAATCCAAGCTATTGTGACACCAGATGTAATTGGTGGCACTGACTGGGGAAATGGGCACAGTATGCACTGTGAGCCTGACACAGAAGCTGGCAGCAGTGGCAGACAACTGACTGCTATTCAATCTATAACAGTGAAAAAAGTTTTTTGTTTTTAAATCCAAGCTATTGTGACACCAGATGTAATTGGTGGCACTGACTGGGGAAATGGGCACTGTGAGCCTGACACAGAAGCTGGCAGCAGTGGCAGACAACTAAGTGCATTTACATTAGATAGAAAAAAAAAATCCAAAAAAGCATACCCTTATCCCTAACCTAGCTATGCTTTTCCCTATCTTATGAACAGCAGCTACACTTTCCCTCCTCTTACTAAGCATGCAGCTTGAGAATGAATCTAAAATGGATGCTGTCCAGTAGGTGGGAGGGTCTGCTAGGGAGGCTGTGCTGCTAATTGGCTGGAATGTGTCTGCTGACTGTGAGGTACAGGGTCAAAGTTTACTCAATGATGACGAATAGGGGGCGGGTCGAACCGCGCATATGTTCGCCCGCCGTGGCGAACGCGAACATGCTATGTTCGCCAGGAACCGTTCGCCGGCGAACCGTTCGGTACATCACTATATATAATTCATTCTGCTGCTTTGTACTAGAATGTAATTACTTTACCCACCACTGTTACATGTTAAAAGAGCTAAACTGGCTGTCGCTGGAATCCCAACGCACTCTTCATCTTTCCAGCCTTGTGCATAAGAACATAAGAGCATTTCTGGGAAGCTCCCACCCTAGCTGAGTAGAATTCTCTCTCCGGCTGTACCCACCTCCTCTAACCTCCGATCCAATACTAGCACAATATTTAGAATACCACAAAACAAAAATAAAGTGGCTTGATCCTCCTTTTCCTACAGAGCACTGCAATTATGGAATAACCTCAGGGACACAGTCAAATCTTTATTCAATCTAAAATCTTTTAAGAGATCTATGGCAATATACCTCAGCACAGAATGCACCTGTCATGGTTGAATATATTTATTACCTGTTAGGTATTAAATTTATATATGTGTGTATTTATATAGTTTGTATATTGTATTTTTGTAATATTGTATCCTATTGAAACAATGCAATGTTTTGTGGACATATACCCAGGTCATACTTGAAAATGAGAGAAATCTCAATGTATCCATCCTGGTAAAATATTTTACATATATATATATATATATATATATATATATATATATATATATATATATATATATATATATAGAGAGAGAGAGAGAGAGAGAGAGAGAGAGAGAGAGAGAGAGAGAGTTGTGATCAAAATGATTCACGCCCCATTAAATATCAGGCTTATTGTCAAAATTTACAGACAGCTGTTTGCAATGAACAAATCAAACAAAAGCAATTGAAATAGCTCAACACAACAAATGCTTCAAGTGGTTTCCCCACATTCAACTGAAAATGCAACAAGGAAATGTGATAGATGCAAGGTGTGTATCTATCTAGCAAATACAAAAAAAAATATTCTGGAGTTTAAAAGCAATAGAACAGTTTATTTTTTTTTCAAATTAAAAGTCCACTAAATTGCCATTCTACCCATGTAATATATCTGCTGTACTGTCTATGTGGCTCTCAATATGTCAGCAGGACTAAATATAAAATTAAATATAGAAACCATGAAGAATAATATTAAAAATAAATATGATAAACAGTCAATATTGTAACTCCTGTTTCAAATTTAGCTTTATTAATTTTACATTTCAGGCTGTAGAACAGACAGACAACAACTGGTGGGGAGGGAGTAATATGGAGAAGAGTATATCACAAAGGCAAACTTTTATTTATTTATTTTTATCTTTTATTTTTTATTTATTTATATTTTTTTATTTCTTTTACTCTTATTGTCTTTATTATTAGTTTTCATTTTTGTATTTTTATGTGTATATTATATTATTATTGCCCTCATACTAGTTGGTTTCCATCATGGGATGACATCACTTCCTATTCACTTGGATGATTCAGAGACTTCTCATGTATTGTGGGTGAAGATACAAGCTTATGCTATCTTGTCACCATCTGTTCAGCATGGTGAAATAATGCATAAATACCAACACGTGGAAGGCAATATGAAGTAAGTAGGAAGGAGTCCCTCTGAAAAATTAGACACACCACAGTTTTTATGATTGGTGATAGGATGAACAGGCCCGCCAACTGGATGCAGAAGAGGAGGATATAAAGATGGTGGATAATGTAGATCATTATGTGTTTATGTTTTTTCTATTGCTTGCTTTCATTTGTCTGTATTTTTTTCTGCAAATTCATGTACCCAGGCACCCTGAAGAAGTCCCTTGAGATGAAACATGTAGGTCATGGTAAATTTGGAAATCATTTGCTCATTGGCTTCATTTAATTAATAGTCTTTTTTCTTATTTTTTTGTCCTTAATCAAAAAGTATAATTACATGCAAACTTAGACCTATATTTGTCCTAATGTTGCCTTTTCTTTTGCCCACATTATATTTTTAGAAATTCACAAATAATTATTTATTCTAGGACATCCTTTTTTGATGTGTTTCAGTGATGTGTTATTCTTGGGGATACGCACTGGAGCACTACAGTATGTTTTACTTCATTGTTGTTTTATGCTCTCTACAATGCTTTGTATGTTACAGATGTAAAATTAAAATACCCACTTAACATTGAAGCATGTTAGTGGCAATGATCAGTCATCTCACAAATAGTGTGTTCATTTTGTTTTATTCTTTCTAATCTACATGCACTCACCTCTTCACTAATGAGCACTTTTGATTAAAAAAGTTTAGCATAACATACATTTGAATCAAGAGGTGCATAGCTAGCAAATAAACATATCACACCACAGCAATTGTGTGTATAGTTACTTTGCAGACAAATGTAAAAATTGAAATGATGTCAATTTCCACATTTTTATTTTTCACTTATTTGTTCATCCTTTATAAACATATTGAAGAAATGACAAGATTTAGACAGTACACAGTTTCCTTTATCTTGCAATATCTGCCACTGGGTATAAAATAAATTAGTATAACAGCAAAATGTTATTTTTGTGACATGCAGTAAATTTTGAAATACCTTAAAAATATTTTATTTCACTGTATTTACTGTTTGTGTGTATTGTGCACAAATGCATACATTATTTTTACATTCAGTTGCCTTTTTTAGTAAGCTGTAGTGCTATTGTTATTGTTATTTGATGCCCTCTACAATGCATTACATGTTACAGATGTAAAATTAAAACACTCACCTACATTGAAGCGCATAACAGTCAACCATCAGTCATATCCTAACTAGTGCGCTCATTTTTTTTTTAATTCCTACTAATCTACACGCACTCACCCCTTCACTAATGAGTAGTGATGTCCCGAACGGTTCGCCGCGGATGGCGAACATAAACATAAACTTTGACCCTGTACCTCACAGTCAGCAGACACATTCCAGCCAATCAGCAGCAGACCCTCCCTCCCAGACCCTCCCACCTCCTGGACAGCATCCATTTTACATTCATTGTGAAGCTGCATTCTTAGTGAGCTGTCCGGGAGGGTCTGGGAGGGAGGGTCTGCTGCTGATTGGCTGGAATGTGTCTGCTGACTGTGAGGTACAGGGTCAAAGTTTATGTTTATGTTCGCCGTCCGCGGCGAACCGTTCGGTGAACCGTTCGGGACATCACTACTAATGAGCACTTTTTGATTGAATTTTTTTTAGCATAAAATACATTTAAAGCAAGGGGTTCATATCTAGCATATAAACATATCACACTGCAAGAAATGTGAAGGGTTACTCCAACCATAAACAGAGTTTAAATAAAGCTGTTTGGAGATGGAGTAACCCTTGCTGGCATGTTCCTCACATGGTAGACAACAAATGTGTACATAATTAACATTTAATAGTAACTGAAATAGCCATTTCAGTCATACTGCAATATAACTATAATTACTACTATATCCCGAATGTCCTATTTAGATGGATCCAAGAGACTGTGATGGCCACTCCAGAACCTTCACCTTTTTCTGTTGTAACCACTGGAGGGTCAACTTGGCCTTGTGCTTAGGGTCATTGTCATGCTGGAAATTCCAAGAGTTTCCCATGCGCAGCCTTCGTGCAGAAGAATGTAAATTGTCAGCTAGTATTTTCTGATAACATGCTGCATTCATCTTGCCATCAATTTTCACAAGATATTCCATGCCTTTAGAGCTTACACATCCCCAAAACATCAGTGGTATTCTTTTCATTATAGGCCCTGTTGATCACTCTCCAAACATAGAGCTTATGGTTGTGATCATAAAGCTCTATTTTGGTCTTGTCACTACAAATTACAGCGTGCCAGAAGCTGTGAGGCATGTCAAGGTGTTGTCGGGCATATTGTAACCAGGCTTTTTTGTGGCAACTCGACCATGCAAGTCATTTTTGTTCAAGTATTGTCGTATTGTGCTCCTTGAAACAACCACACAGTCTTTTTCCAATGCAGCATTTATTTCTTCTGAGGTTACCTGTTGGCTTTTCTTTGTATCCCAAAAAATTATTTTGGCAGTTGTTGCTGAAATCTTTCTTGGTCAAGAGATCCTTGAATTTTCCACTTCTTAATAAGTGATTGAACAGTAATGACTGTTATTTTCAAGGCTTTGGATATCTTTTTATATCCTTTTCCATTTTTATAAAATTCCATCACCTTGTTATGTAGGTCTTTTGACAGTTCTTTTCTGCTCCCCATGGCTCAGTATCTGTTCTGCTTAGTGTATCCACACGAGAGCTAACAAACTCATTGCCTCCTTATACACAGACACTAATTGCAATTTAAAAAGCCACAGGTGTGAGAAATTAACCTTTAATTGCAATTTTAACCTGTGTGTTTCACCTCGTGTGTCTGTAACAAGGCCAAATATTCAAAGGTATGTAAACTTTTGATCAGGACCATTTGGGTGATTTCTTTTATCATTATGATTTAAAAAGGAGCCAAACAACTATTTGATAATAAATGCTTCATATGATCACTATCCTTCAATAAAATATTTTATTTTGCTTGATCAGTGACATTTTCAAAATCAATGGCAACATTTCACAATTTCTGACAGTGTATGCAAACTTTTGAGCACAACTGTATACAGGGTAGAAGTTGTATAGAGAACATGGACACAAACTTATAAGTGTTGGTTGCTGACATCATTATTTGGTTGCTGACATCATTGTTGTATAAAAAAAAATATTTTTGGGCACAGATGGCTTAGTTTGCATCCAGGATTTTTTGGGTAGGGAAATGCAACATGAATTCCAGAAACCATGGTGAATAAATATAAACACTTTTTAAGGCCATACCAAAACTATTAAATAGGCAACCATCGCAATGAAGAGATGATCTGTGTATAACTAAGGTCTACAGGATAACTCCTAGCCATCCACTGTGTATAAAATTACAGCACAGGATGCCAGTTGTTTGTGTTGTGATGCCATGCATCATAAGTTTAATGTTAACTGTGTGTGTTCTTTTGAGAGACTCTGACATCTGTACATATGTTAAGGGTATTTCAGCACCTTGGTACACTTTATTTACAATACAAGATCCTCTCCAATGCACCTGGACTAATGGCTTGGATTTTGAATAATAATTAACTTGCTTGGATGCTAGATGTTGGATTTGTCCTTATACTTGGATTGACTATCTGATATCAAACCTTTTACACCTCTCTTGGATACTGTTTCTTGAAAAGCAATTACATTCAGACATGTTCACTGGCTTTAACCATTGTTTTTTGTCATGTAGGACTCAGACTCTATACAACGCCTGCCAACTGCTGAACTGCTTAACTGGCATTAATCCTTGGATCGTTTTTCACAAGTTCTGAATCCCAGATTAAATGTTTTCTCTTGTTAATCAGACTGATCTTCTACCTCACTTCTCTATACCACTTTGGATTATCATTCCCAGAAATACAATACTCCTTGTTGGTTTCATTATACTAAAGGATATTCTTCAAGTTTGCATTTGCTTGCAGACTCTTGCAGATACGTCCTTCTCTCTATCATGCAATCATTATTCACCAGTCAAAGCTGTCACCTTCACTGCACTAAAGCAATATAACAAACTACTCAATTGTTCATCACCTATTTATTAAGTTTAACCCGTTTGGATCCTTATTTTCTGAATCTCTTCGTGGAAACTAAGTACTAACCTATAATTTACCTTTCATAAATTAAAAGATTGCTAAGCTCATTGGCAACAGGTGGGGATGGCCATATTTCAGTCATTTTTGTACAAAAACCCCTGTCTGACTTAAATCCACCAGGTAATCAAGATTGTGTTGGTAAAATCTGAAATAATGTGCTGCCATATTGACACAATGTGCATCTCAAAAATGCAGTATGGGACAATTTCAGATCTTCAAATCATAAGCGTTAAGTGGTGCTCTTCACCAAACATAAGATCTATTCCACCTATGCCACCAAAGATCTATGCAACCTATGCACCTATGCCATCAAAGATTCTATAGGAGCACAAGTTCAACCAACCAGAATTATACACATTGCATTACGGAAAGGTAAGCAGGGTGTTTAAATAAGATATTTTTTATTTTTTTATTTAGCATACGTACCTTCCCTACAAAACTTTAATATCTTTCAAAACTAAACATTTAGAAGAGGAAAAGAATCAAACAAAATATTTCAAACAATCATGATTATCAAAATCACTGAGGGGCAATAATTTCTGTCCTTGAAGTTATAGTAACTTTTTTATTATATTTAAAGAAATATTTATTTATAGTTTTATTTGTTACTATGGTAATACTAAAATATGAATGCATAAATGTATTCTAGGTCTCGAAAACAAAATTCTAATTTAATTTATTGTGTGTTATATTGTTCAGATATACCGTGTCTTTTATTCTGCTAAGAAAACTAATGAAAAAAGATGGTATTACATTTCATAAACAATAGACTATCAGGATCTATTCAGAAACATCTGTTTTGAAAAATACAGCCCACAATAGACTATTTAACGCTAGAAAGAAATTGTTCCATTTATAATTTTTGTAGAATGTCAAAAGACACCATATCATATGGGCAAAAAATACAACTTTTCCAAGACTTAACTAAGATTTTTTTTTATCCTATACAAAATTCAAATGCACAAACTTGTTTTTTTTTTTTTTTTAAACAAGATGCTGTAAAATCTTGTAAAAGTGTCTATGCAAGTTAATACTCACATATAGGGTACTTTAAAGAATAGTTTGTACTTCAATTAAGGGCTCTTGGTACATATTGTGTAGTAATCGCTGTTACCATGCATGCATTTTGGAATTATATTATATTTTTGCTACAATTTAAATGTATTTGAATCTATAAGTCTATATTGGTTCTTTTTCATACTATTAGATTTGAGAGAATAGGTTCACTTCAACCATGATATTCAATGTGAACCCAGGCTGCATACCCCTTCTGATGGATTATGTGCATGAGGTCATATGACTTGTCTACAGATTCTTGGTATGTGAATTTCCCCTCAATTAAGTTAGCTATAATTTGTTTTCACAAAAGTTACAGTATTATTTTCAATAATAATTTTCTACAAACACAAATCCTAAAATTCTGCAATTTGTAATAAGGAATATCAAGGAGATTTCATAATGTACCAATCAATTCATATTGCATAGTGTGTAGTGGCTTGACAGAAATGCAACTAGGAGGAGAAAAGGAGTAGATATTCACATAATATGGTATCGGAAAGATTTATTTTCCATTCCTGTTACTGCCAATTTGATGAATAGTTCTGAAGTGAATATGTGCAAGCTAACATGTTGTCACTAGTGATGTTGCGAACCCGAAATTTTTGGTTCGCGAACGGCGAACACGAACTTCCGCAAATGTTTGCGAACCGGCGAACCGGGCGAACCGCCATAGACTTCAATGGGCAGGCGAATTTTAAAACACACAGGGACTCTTTCTGGCCACAATAGTGATGGAAAAGTTGTTTCAAGGGGACTAACACCTGGACTGTGGCATGCCGGAGGGGGATCCATGGCAAAACTCCCATGGAAAATTACACAGTTGATGCAGAGTCTGGTCTTAATCCATAAAGGGCATAAATCACCTAACATTCCTAAATCACAATGGATATGGATTGACACCTGACATATGACATATTGACACCTTGACATATGGATTGACACCTGTCCTCAGAGACCCTGATACACACTGACACAGAGCAGAATAGAGACTGTTCCTCCTACATAGGGTCACTTGGCAGATATGGATTGACACCTGTCCTCAGGGACCATGATACACACTGACACAGAACAGAATAGAGACTGTTCTCCTACATAGGGTCACTTGGCAGATATGGATTGACACCTGTCCTCAGAGCCCATGATACACACTGACACAGAGCAGAATAGAGACTGTTCCTCCTACATAGGGTCACTTGGCAGATATGGATTGACACCTGTCCTCAGAGCCCCTGATACACACTGACACAGAGCAGAATAGAGACTGTTCTCCTACATAGGGTCACTTGGCAGATATGGATTGACACCTGTCCTCAGAGACCATGATACACACTGACACAGAGCAGAATAGAGACTTTTCCTCCTACATAG